GGGGGGGGGGGGGGGGGTGTAGCCCCCCCCAATAAATCAATACCAGCTAATACAACCCCCCCAATAATCATGTTTCCCCCGCAATGGGTGGAAACCTCAACCCCTCCAATGTTCCAGCCAAAGTTACGCCCTTGCCCTAAATGCAACTTAAGTTCATGATTCACCTTTTCTGTATGAACAGGTATAACCACTCAACCCATTACGATGAGTTGTATCCGTGAGCATTTGCATTGTGTACCATTATCTCCCCGTTTTACCCAGAATACTTGCATCTCCTTCAGAGTTCATCCGTGTGCGAGCGATTCCCGATCACCTACCCGCTAAGCGTGATCACCGGTCCCCCGGTGTGAGTGTGAGTCTCCGCTTTCCGAGCCTTCAACCCCCCGGGAGAGACCAATCGGCTTTTCACGTAATTTCGAATCCGTCTCCCGTCTCATTACTGGGTTCAACGTGGGTTTATTGCCACAAGTAACAAATTACTCTTGTGTTCTGAGTCAACAGGATTATAAAATATTAACAAGGGCTTGTAAACTTCGAAGCCTTTATATCAGCTTTCTGGTTCTCACTAAAAGGACTTGACAATTTCCCCTGTGGTTATTTGGAAAAAACACATAAATTTCGGAGCCATTATTTTAAAGGACTCACAGGATCTGAATTTCAACTAGACGTCGTAAGTATTTTTTATTAAATGCATGCTCTTCTAAACGCTAGGTAACATTACACAGTTGACAGTATCAATACGTTTACCGTAAGACAAGAATAATTCAATAATTCATCACGATATTTAGCGTTTTATCACCGGGTTATAATTAATATTTAACATGTAGTATAATGTAATGTCAAATCTGTTATGAAGTCAAAGAAAATGTTTAAAGGTATTTTTCTTGGGAGTGAGTGTATATTAAAATAATATATATGCAAACGATGACAATAAAAATGGATTTCTTAATGTTCTAAAAGTTCTGTTCTTTCTGTTCTGAAAGTTGCTCGTATCTTGTTGGATGGCTAGAACACTGTTTCACTTCCCAAACCTGCCTTCAGGGGCACCGCAGCCATTCCGCAAATTTCACTACCAATTCACTTAACTAGTTAAATACTTGGTTATGTATTGATTAACCAAACGTGGTATGCTACTGGTTGAGTCAACAAATACGTTGGCATTGTTACTGCAAATACTCGGGGTTCTTTAGGAGAGGTTTTGAAATGGCTAAGCTGAGACAGTTTAACATACATATCACAGTTGTACACCAGCATGGAGATCAGTTGAACCTACTTTTCTTTGACTGTCTAAAATGTTTGCTTATTTTGTTCAGAAAAAGAAGAGACAATGGCTACTGTGAAAGAGAAACTCTTGCTGGAGATAAACCCTGGCCGGGAGGCAGGAATAGCCAGCAAGGTGACCGTAGTGGGGGTGGGTAAGGTGGGCATGGCATGTGCTTTCAGCATCCTGCAGGCGGTGAGTCCAGAAAACTTTATATGAATGCTACAAGGCGTCTTTATTGCATGTTTCTGCTAGTACTTTGTTTACCCATAGGTCATGTAATGATTTAAGTAATGCATAAAACATGCCATTTTTAAATGCATTTACTACTATGGATGACATCTATATAATTAGTGAATGCTTCCAGCTACCAGCATACAATTGCTATTGATGTACTATGACATTGTTGCGTATCAGTGTATGCGATATAGCGATAACGCTATGCTTATTTAGAATATTGCTGATTGTGTCACCCTGATTGACATGATGGGGGACAAAGTACAAGGTGAGGTGATGGATCTGCAGCATGGCAGCCTCTTCCTGAAAACTCCAAAGATCACAGCAGCAAAGGGTGAGAGAGATAAGTGACATTCACAGTCGTAATCACAGACTGACACTTCACCCACTACCCTTAGTCCCATGCGCTTTGTCCATTGAAACTCCCGGGTGAAATCCTGTAGAAACAAGGGTTTTGTGAAAGCATTTCATAGTTTTCTCATAAGTTTTTTAACAAGCTAGTTCTTATTTTTAAATGTCAATTTAGCTGTCTCCTTCATATGTCTCAGATTAAAATATATCAAATTGTGATACAAAACTGGAAAGGCCAAGCAATGGGATATTATACTCAAATGCCAGTGCTTTTTTTTTTTGTCAGGCGTTATCCATCTTGGCAGATATTTTATGTCAGTGATACATATGTGTGTGTGACTGATATTGTATTATACAATATGTTACTCAATGGAACACAAAAAAGCAAGTCAATTTCACGTGCAAACATTTGTGCCCTTGAGTTTGCAGAAACGTTATATTTGTAGGTAGCAGGGAGAGACATCTGAAATTCGCAAGATCTGAAATAGTCTGCTTTGTGTGTTGCTCCCTTTCACAGAGTACTTGGAGACTGCCAACTCCAAGCTCTGTGTCATCACAGCAGGGGTGCGTCAGAGGGTAGGAGAGAGTCGCCTGGACCTAGTCCACAGGAATGTGGAGGTATTCAAACAGATCATCCCTCAGCTGGTTCAGCACAGTCCTGAGGCCATCCTCCTCGTAGTTTCCAATCCAGGTGACCTGCTATGACTGTTTTTCAAAAGTGTGTTTGTATATAATATATGGCAAAATATGTTGACACCCCTATTAATTAGAAGACTTGTCAAACCCATTACTGACGTGTGTCTAATTAAGCACAGTCATGCAATCTCCTATAACAAACATTAGCAGCAGGGTGGTTATACAGAACAGGTTAGTGACTTTCCATTTGGCACCATCATAAGAGGCCATCTTTCCAAAAATTCAATCCGCCACATTTCTGCCCTGATAGAGTTGCCCTGATCAACAGATCTATTTATAATCCGCATGATTGCTGTTACTACCATGAAAATAATTTTTACACTTTAAAATTATTTTTTATATTTTACTTTTAGAAATTATTCAAATACTATCATTTTATGAACTGTAGACTGAACAAAACTGCTATAACCGATTATTTTGAACAAACTATCATTACTCAAATGTGCGTACGAATGGTCTTGAGTTTGCGTAGATTCTGTTCTTAGCTAAGAACAAATTCAGATGAGAAAACATTGGTGAATGTCAGAATCTTCGTAAAAAAAAGTGCGTACGTGGGGTTTAAGAACAAATTTGTTCGTAAGAACGGTTGGTGAATGAGGACCAATGTCCTTTGGACAGACAAAATCAAAGTGGAGATGTTTGGCCATAATGTACAGCGCCACATTTGGTGAAAACCAAACGCAGCATAACGGCACAAACACCTCATACCAACTTTTATGCATGGTGGCGGAGGGGTGATGATTTGGGCTTGTTTTGCAACCACAGTACTTGGGCATTTTGCAGTGATTGGGTCGACCATGGACTCCTCTGTATACCAAAATATTGTAGAGTCAAATGTGAGGCCATCTGTCCAACAGCTAAAACTTAGCTGAAACTGGGTCATGCAACAGGACAATAATCCCAAGCACACCAGCAAATCTACAGCAGAATGGCTGAAAAAGAATAGAATCAAGGTGTTGCTTTGGCTCAGTCAAAGTCCAGAGCTCAACCCGATTGAAATGCTATGCATAAATGAATACCCACAAACCTCAATGAACTAAAAGCAATGTTGTAAAGAAGAGTGAGCCAAAATTCCTCCACAATGATGTAAGAGACTGATAGTCATACAGAAAATGATTACTTCAAGTTATTGCTGTTACAGGTGGTTTTACAAGCTATTGAGACTTGGGGTGTACTTAGTTTTTCACATATGGCTTCTCCATTTTGGCTTTGTTTTTGTTAAATATTGACATGGTGGAATCTGTTGTGTGTTATTTTACACCTGAGGTTGGATTTAAATCATTTTAGAACCTAGTAAAGGCCAGATTATTTTTTTTTGTATGTCCTAATTCGGGAAACCATTTCTTTTTCACATAACTGTATATAACTACCAGCTGCTACTGGTGCTGTTCTAGATTCTGTGTGAAATGCACGGCTATTCAATTATACAATTTGTAAAAAGCTTGTGTTTATGAACTAAGAAAACCAAAGGTTATACCCTTTGCCTTCTCGTTAAAATAACATTGAAAGAACATGGGTCACTTTTTAAATCATGGAATGACCTTCTTGTATGTTTCACTCTGACATTGGCCTAGTGGACATCCTGACGTACGTGGCCTGGAAGCTGAGCGGCTTCCCCCAACACCGAGTCATTGGAAGCGGCACCAACCTGGACTCCGCCCGATTCCGCTTCCTACTGGCTGAGAAACTGCAGATGAGCCCCAGCAGTGTGCACGGTTACATCATCGGGGAGCACGGCGACTCCAGTGGTTAGTCTCACCGGTTACATCAT